CTCCTACGAATAGTCCTGGCTAAACTTTATATAGATACGAACTCGTTACGAACTTCGTTATAATTACTATAATATGGACACCATTACAACATGTACAACATAATGTCCATGAAGTCATCTACAACGAATGTTCATCGGCACGTTCAAATACCGACGCGCGTGCATARTAGTATCGTTTAATATCCAGTAACTTTTTAGACTCCGTACCACCACAAATTTATAATAATTTATCATGGTAGTGGCTTTCGGCAAAATATCCGGTTAAGGTACATAAAACCATATGTAATATACAATAGAGATATTTCTGTTTACTGACGAACGCATTATTCTTCTTATTGTAGACGCACTTAATACTTAGTGCCTACTAATACCGTATAAAATAATATATTATGAGTACCTTTAACCCAATAACGCTGAATATATCAATATCATAAATATAGAGTTTTTCTCTTTTTTTTTTTCTCAGAACAGGCTATCGGAGAGGACTCGRACTTTTCGAGTATAATATAAAATCTAGCTAGCACACAAGCAGGTTAGTGAGTTAATACATTTTATAACAACAATATTATAATATCGACGACGACGATGATAATACAAACGAGTGGACTTAATACGAAAATGTAAATGAGRTTCTGTTGACGGAAAGTTCGAATATCGTCAGACTCTTATAAACATTTTATAGTAGGTAGTAAAATATTATTATCATATTCGGTATTGGCGGTATCGACGCTTTTCCTTTCCATCCCAATATAATATTATAACGTTGTGTCTTATAGTATTATTTCGCTCAGCTGCAAAGTATTATAACTATCAAAATCGAGAAAACCGTATAKAACTTAAATCGCTATTTACAATACTATGAATACATTTTAGAAAGTATTTTTAAAGTCTAAGTCATCTGTAATGTATATATATATATATATACATATTATATAGTACCTATATAAATAATAAATGTATATATATGTTTAATACGGAAATGTATATAATAATTTTGATACTACGCGTCTGTTATATAGACGACGTAGTTGGTGCACTTATCACTGGAAATCCACTCGTACCTCTCGTTGTGTCGATTGATGTCTACTTAAAATTCAGTTTTCGTTGTGCTCGAGTTCATGTATTACAAAAATATTGTACGTTTYTCGATTACGAGAATTGAATATTAATAAGACAYCGAACTGCAGAACAAACGGATGATTACAACGCGTAGGTATATATAACATTATATACTACGAACAGGTATTAAACTTCAGACGGATACTTCTTTTTTTTTGACTTTATTTCTAATGCATAAATTAGAATCCTATACGGCTATACACCAATTCATACTTATTCGCCCATTTTTTTTGGAGTACCCGCAATCGATATATATATATAATATGCTAAAATCCTACTTCGTGTATTCCGACTCCTAGATTAATGATTAAGCTGGCGGGTGTAATTGTGACTGAATAATTAATATTATGCTGGTGATAATATTTCACTGAGAACCGTTGGGCATACTTTGTATATCATATCTTTTTATTTGGATTATGATATCTTCGTATTTTAATTGATTAATTG